AGATTGAACTTTATACGTTGACTTTGGAATGGACAGAAAGAAATACAGAAGAATGTAATCATGATGAAGATGTGTCAGCAGTCCTCAAACCTCCCCCAAATTTGAGAAACTTAACCATAGAATGTTATGGAGGTGAAAAATGTCCTCCATGGATGGAGCCTAGTTTGAGTGAATCATTTTCGCTCAACAATTTGGTGGACTTGAAAATCTTAAAATGTAAAAAGTTGAAAAGCATGCCAATCATGATCGGGTTATCATCTCTTCAACAGCTTCTAATTCAAAATTGCCTTGAATTAACCAGAATCGGAGATGGAGCATTTGCCTTTCCGGCGTCTCTCAGACAACTAAGCATTTGGTCATGTCCAAGATTGGAAACAATTGGGGAAAGTATTTCGACCCTCACATGCCTAGAAGAGTTAAATCTAATTGAATGTAAAGATCTGAGGCCCATTCCAAGTGTAAATGGGCTTTCCTCTCTAAAGAAGTTATGGATTGAAGGATGCAGTTCAGTGGTGAGTCTACCAAATGGACTGTCCTCCCGCACTGCACTTAAAGTATTGGCCATGGTTAGCTGCCCTAATCTGATCTCCATCTTCGAAGATTTGAAGGATTTGCATTCTATGGTTAGATTAAATATTTTCGGCTGTGAAAATTTGAGTATTCCGGAGGAGAGCTTCAGCTGTCTTGTCTGCTTGGAGTATTTGGGAATTGGTGGTTTCTCAAAAGAGTTGGAGGAATTCCCATATCTTAATTCCATCCACCACCTCCACGCCTCCCTTCAAAAGTTATGGTTGAGTGGGTGGGAAAAACTAACGTATCTACCACCTCAAATTCAACACCTCCCTTCTCTAAGGAAATTGAGTATATATACTTTCAATCAAGTGGAAGCTTTGCCAGAGTGGTTAGGAAGCTTCTCATCTCTTCAATCTCTGGAGATTTGGCACTGTGCAAAATTGAAATATCTGCCTTCTGCACAAGCCATGCAACGCCTCTCCAAGTTGCAGAATCTTCTAATTGTTCACTGTCGAGAGCTAGAAGGAAGATGTGAAAAGGAAACCGGCCTCGAATGGTTCAAAATTTCTCACGTTCCAAACATCGAAATACATAAAGTGCGCATCCAATAACAAGGAGATTGGGCCCTTTTCCTGAGGTATATATTTAAATTTCTTAATCCTCAACTTCTCTTCTTCCTTATAATAAATTCCACCACTAATTTTGCTTCTTTCTTCAATTCAGACTTCAAAGTAACAAAAGAAGTCAAATTTATCAATCCAAAGGGTTACTTATGGCTGCTTCATTTTTCTTAACCTACAATGCTTGTGAAAATTCTTTAAAAGGTAATTTCTTATTACTCCAACTCTCTTCCATATATGAATTCTTTTACTATTCTTTTACTCGCTTGTTTGGTTTGAGGAGAGGGGGATAAAATTCCTTATTTGGCTAACAAAAATAGGAGGGGAGGGAATTAGTGGGAGGATTTACCTTTAAATTCATATATAATTTTAGTATAACTAAATGAAAAAAGGGGAAGCAAGCAAGAGGGAGGGAAACAGATGGTATTGTGCCTCCTCCATTTCCCTCGAACCAAACAAGGGTAGGGATTTCTCATCATTAGCAATGTATAATAAATGATTCCCATGGTTGGGAGGAATTGAAAATGGGTGGTTTTCTCAAACTATTTATATAATTATATGTTGAGTCTACTGGAAGTATTTGTCCACGCATGAGTCTGCATCTTTGTATGCATGTATATGCATAGGTCACTGGTTTACAGGCGCCTAAGAAATCCTCATCAATCCAGTAAGTTCTTAGAACTTGTAGCATGGTCTTTGAGTTGATTTTTATGAACTAGCTTCAAAATTTTTATCATACAACTTGTTTGTGTATGTACCCAGTAAGAGTAGGGTCTTAAATCATTTGACGCAATCTTTTTATGGGAGTATCGGATGCAGAGTAACTTCTAGCTTTCATGAATATATAATTAAATAAATTTTCTCATTCCTTAAGCAATTGAAATGAATATGATTCTTCTCTCCTACTTCTGATTTTTCATTGTAAAAGATAGTTTTTTGTAGTTTGTTACTATACTAAAAAGATAGTTTTTTGTAGTCTGTTACTATACTAATTATTTGATTTATCCTATTTTACTGCCAAAACTAAACTTTGATTAATATTGATTAACTTTACAACCTTGTGAAATTTGGTGTTCAGTTATTTGAATTAATCATATAGGAAATACTCAAACTGATGATGAGGGTTTACTTGGTTTTATGTTGCTTTCTAGGGATTCCAATGCACTTTGGGTGAGCAAGCTCTTGCTGGATATTTTTGTGATATTGTTTTGGACAACAGCTTCTTGAATATTAAGGATTTTGATTATAAGAAAGTTCTATGATGGGGAAGCTTTGACACAATTGTTGGGGAACTTGTTCATTATTGGAAGACTAGATTTCTAGTCAAAATCTGTAATAATTGCCTTCTACTAGAGCCATGCAATGCCAAGAGGTACTAATTGATTGGAAGTTTCTTGCATTCTAATATCCTAGTAGAATGAGTGCATCCAATTCCAAGAATATTGATCTTCTCAGGTATATTTTCTAAACCTCAATACCTTTTCTTCCTTAAAAAAGTTCCCATCACTAAGCCCATCTTCACCCTATCATTAAGCATTTGTATCTTTTATGAATTCTAACTCTTAGGCAGCATTAGTAATTAAATTTGTCAATCCATAAGGTAAACCCAAAAAGATGTTCCAATTGTTTGCAGTGCATGAGGGATTCTTTTAGGTATCCTCTTTTGGTTTTTCTCAAAAAGGAAAATTCATGTTTCATAAATGAAATTAACAAGTGACACTGTAATAAATTTTATTTCATTAATTCATTTTTTTCTAAAACTATTTGCTGGTTATGCAGTTATAGAGTTATCATGTACTTTGGATTTGAGCATTGGAAGAACCTTAGGTAGCATTTAATACACACCATGGGGAAGTAGCAGGGAAAGGGGAGGAAACTTTTTGACAATGCAAAATATTATTCAGGTATGCCTTCTAGATCATATATGAGTCTTAATTAGGTATTATGTCTTTACAAGCATGTATAGTCTATGCAAGTGAGTAGGATCATATGCTAAAGTATTTTTCTTGAAAATTGTAATAGAAAGAGTGCTTGTAGGTGTTCATGATTAGTATCACATTCCTTGTGCCATATGGTTTTTTGTACATAAAGAGAAGGGCGGATGTAGCTTAGCTTATGGGCTCTCTGATTATAGAGAGTTTTATGAATTGGAAGCTTTGACATAGTTGTTGTGAACTTTGTCTCTATTCAGATATTCAATTTCTGTCCATAATTTGAAATATTTGACTTCTCCTGGGGCCATCCAATGCCAAGAGGTACTGATTTATTCAAAGTTCCTCACATTCCAATATCCAAATAGACCAAGTGCATCCAGTTCTAAAAAGGTTGAATTTATCTGGTATATTTTCTTAAACCTCAGCTTCTTTAAAAACTTCTCATCCATCACTAAGTTTATCCTCACCATCACCATATCAATAAGCATTTGTATCTTTTTATCAATTCAGACTTCAAACCAACGCCTGAAATCAAATTTGCCAATCTTTACAGTAATCCCTGGATGTTCCAATTTTTTGCAGTGCAACACGAGGAATACTTTTAGTTAGTCTTTTTTTCCGTTTTTTGAAAATGTTAAACTCATGTTTCATAAAAGATGTCAACATTTGACTATGTAACAATTTTTATTCCATTCCCTTTTTTTATACCAGCTTGCGTGAGAATGATCCAATTATCCAAACATGGATCTATTGATTTCACATATTTAGAGATGATTCCAGGTTAGCACTGTTTTAAATTACCAGAACATCAAATCTATTGCATTCTTCATTTGATGGTGTTTTTAGTTATCGTACTCTCTCTCATCCTATCTCCATTTTATCAATTTTGCAAAACTTAGCCTTAAACTCAGTGTCACTCTACAAATTGAAACAGAAGAAGGAATTATACCATACATGACTTTAAGGTTAGATTCTTCAGAACTCATCATTTTCTCAAAAATTAGCCATCAACTATCACTCCATAAATACTTGCTACTCATGTCACTTTTCTTTAATATATGTATTTTTTTTTTAATCAGTCATGTCTGTTATTTGGATACTTTGATATGAAGTTAATGAAGAATATTAAGTGTTTACATTAGCTTTTGGAATGTAGCATTTGATCATTTACATTGCAAAATATGTTCTTATGAGACAATTAATACCATTGAGCATTAGGTCTCCTAATTAACTGCTTCTCCTTTCATACTTGGGGGGACTCTCTATCATCAATTTTCTGTTCTTAAATATCTTTCCCCATCTTATATTTTCCACTGTAACTTTTCATGATCAGTACATCTAGTACTTTTTTTCCCACTAATATATTTCCTTTTTCATGTGCAGGCATGGAAACTTAAGTGGTAATAGATTATATTCTTTTCATGAGGAAGTCACTTGACAAAGCAAAAATGTATCGTGTATGCTTTATAGATCATTTGAAAGTCTTATTTAAGCATTATTGCTTTACATTTGAGCATATATAGTCTTTCCAAGTGAGTACTATCATACATTTTATTTGTTTGAGAATTAATTTTGTGTCCCGTATGTGTTTAATGTTCAGTATCTCATTCATTAAGCCACAAGGTCCTTCAGAAGTAAGTTAAGGAGAATAGCAAATGCAAAGTAGCTTATGGACTTGGATGGAGATCTGTTAGTGTACGAGTAATTCTCAACTTAAAATTCATCTAAAATGAATTTGCTTTTGTTATTTCCTCCACTTGTGACTTTTACAGTTTATTATAAAGTTCATTGTTGTTTGTTTGTTATCTTCTCCACTGATTATTTGATATTAATTTCTATCTTCAGCTCCAGCTGCAGTTGTGCAGATGTCAGTTGTCCGTAGACAGTCCCTTACTTGAGTATCACAGCCTTACTTCCAATTAACATAAACCGCATTCTTTCAGACAGATAGTTTAAGGTATGTCACTACAAAACCTCGAGGAATGTTTTTGTTGTGTACTGTGTAGTGTGGCTTTGAGAATCATAAATAAACAATCTGTCTAATTAGTGCTTTCTTGTTTTCATATATCATGTACTTAGGATGAGCAATTTTATGCTAGAGGTTCAAGATCTTGTTCCGGATGGCAGCATCTTCAATGGTAGGTAGGTGAAGTACTTAAAATGAGCTTAGTTTACAAATTAGTTTATGTTATCAGATCAATTGAAAAGTTCGATCATCTGAATGCAGTTTTACCATTTGTCATGCAGGAGTGTCAACTTCTCTGATACATCAAGGAGCTAACTAGACCTGCTTTGCTGCACTTTGATTATGCTATAGAGTTACGAAATACGATGGCTGCTACATTTCAATCATCTACCATTGTGATCCTGATGGCAGTAGAATTATATGGGTTATGAGTTTTGATATAAGATTTGGATTGGTGAACTTGGGGAGCTTCTATAGGAGATATGGTAAAAAAAAAAAAAATCTAGATGTTTGTACTTTGATATTCGCATAGTGAAGTATTCTCCTAACTTTGTCTGTACATTAAATCTGTTTGTTTGAACTTCTTTGATTATCTCTTTCTCGTATCTAGTGGTCATGTCCTACCCCATGTCAAAAACAGTATCTGTAAGGGTGCACTCTTTTGGGTGTTGAAGTTTATATATCCAATAGAAGATGTTGCTTGCAATGCTTTTTGATGCAGGAAGGCTTTCCAGACTCATGGTACTTCTGGCCATGAGATTTGAAAAAAGAAAGAGAAAGAAAAGACATAAAAGAACTCAGAAATGTGATATAAAAGGCGTATGCTTCCTATGGGTTATATTTGTCGTCCTCTAAAATTTATATTGTTATATAACCATACAAATTAATTTACCAAAAAATAATAACTTTGCTGCCACGATGTTATGTAGCTTTTATATAGAAGGGGAAACATTAGGAAGATTAAAAGTAATTTAATAAAGACCTATTTGTTCTAAGAAAGAAATTAGATAAAATAGTTGATTTAAGAATGGGGCCAAGCACTCTAACAAACATGTAATATATATATATATATATATATTTTTTACTAACCTCTCAGAACTGGGAGTCATATTAAATCTAATTAATTTGAAGTCAAGTCTCGTCGAATTTCGTAAGAAGAAACTCTTTCAACGTTTATTTTTTCATTTACAAAAATTAAACTCATAATTTTATTTAAAAGAAATCAAACTTCTTTACTTAAACCAATAGGTAATTGGTACAAACATGAAATATTGATGCCCTAAAAATGGTAAAAGTTGATTTAATCAATAATTCTAACCCAACTTGCTCATTTAAAATGAGTTCTACTTAAAAATTCTTAGCCTGTAAAATTGTTTTACTTAAAAGTACATGATTTATGCAGATAGATTGAGAAATGAGTGGGTCACGAGTTACCTTCTCTAACTAGGGAACCATTTGATCCAACCTATTTGACCTATAATCCGTGATGAACCAACATAACTCATCTATTTGTCATGTCTTACTTGTTAGGATTTTTTATGCACAAAGGCTTCGGGTGCGTTGGTTAATGAGGAAACTTCTCTTTAGATTCTTTAGGGTTATTTTGATATTTTTATATTTTAATACAACAACAAAAGAAAGGTAACTTTAACATTTTTAATCTTAACTTTCCTTGACACCATTTCTAATAAATAAACTATTCATCTCATAAATTTTTAAACGTAAGTGTTTCACTCTAATTTTTCCAATGTAGGACCCTTCACAACTTTTTTTGCAACTTTCCAACATCAACTTCTTATCAAATATGAAAATGTTGATTAATTTTATTACAAAATTTATCTACAATATTTTTTAACTTCTTATACAATATTTCTTCGGTCAATAAAAATATTCTCAATAAAGTTGCACTTATGCCAAAACAGAAGGATACGGGCAGGAGATAAAACCTTAGAAGGTGATCTAGCTCAAAGATTTTAAACCAACTGACCTAACCAAATAGAAAAGAGAAAGCCCAATCCAAAATTCAAAGAGGCCAAACTATTCTTTCAGCCCGTTAATAAAACACAAGTCCTTTTTTTTTTTTTTTTTGTCACGGAAAAACACAACCTTATCCTGTTATCCATTCCTCCTCCTCATATTCGGGAACAGATACGAAGATCTGTCATTCTGCAAGTCAATCCATACTCATCGTCATCTTCTCGTTCGACTTTCTTTCTCATCTCTATAAATCGTTAATTGCAATTTTATTGATTCCGCCTATAACAGATTTTGCTTGTTGGAGACTGGGTTAGATTTCTTTCTTTCCCCTGGCTTCTGGGTTGTCGAAAGTGTTCGTTTGAATGATTGTTTGACAGGTGAGAAAAATTTTGTCCTTTTCTCGGTTTTGGTTTTGAGTATGGAGTGGAATTAAACTTGGGTTTCATTTCTTCTGCCATGAAGAACAGGGTTTCATGCTTTGTCGAAGAGGAAAAATTATCAGCGCATTGATTACGCCGCTGCCATGGCGTGGCGGAGATGGGGATTATCTCTTACTTGTTTTTCCTCTGCATCTTGCGATACAGCTCGTATAATCATCCGTGTTGTGTTGCAAGATGCAGGGAAATGCAAGTTAGAAACGCATACGCATCCCAGAAGTTAAAAGGTAAAAGGAAAGATGTCTAAATTTTCTCATTTTTCAAATATTTTCAGTTATATTTAAATTTATAGCATTGTTTTTCTAGACTGCTTATTTGTATATGGTTTTGATAGTTTACTTTTGGTTTAAAAGAAAAGAAAAATTATGTGAGATAATGCAGAACACCTCTTAGGGGTTTCATAATAATAGAATCAAATGATTACCTAAAGCTGCCTGAGGAGGGACTGTGATGCGGCACAATGGTTGAAAACAAACTCACTTGCCTGATTGAATTGAGACAAGACTTGGTAACATCAAGCAAAGACAACGATCGACAGATTTCCAATTTTGTGTTCTAAATCAAACTAATGTGAGAGGCTGTTTAAATGTAGGATCTTGAATGTATGAGTAAATTCGCCATGGTAGCTACTACAGAGAGTCGGTGATGGTGTTGGTGAAAGGGTAAAAGCCAAAACAGAGAGATTGGGGCGGTGTAGACTGTGGAGTGCTTTGCGAAATTCTTCCTGGGGACTGGGAAGAGGTTTTCGGTGGCTACTGGAACGGAACAAGTTTCAGGCGGTTATTAATGCAAAAGCAAAGTGGACATGAGACGTCCAGATGGATGTCGTTTTGGGCCAGCTAAGCCTATTTAATTGATTTGGGCCAGCCAAGCCCATTTAATCTACCTTGGTGCGTTATTTTAATAATAATAATAAATATATAACATAATAATAATTTAATTTAATAATAAACAAATAATATATAAAATAAATAAATAAATAATTTTAATAATAATAATAATATATAAAGGGTAGGATTCACTGTTTAGTGCTATTCTATAATTATAATTGTTAAAGGTGTTATATTATTTTGTATCGGTATTAATCTCTTTATATTTAATAATTACATTAGATATCGATTAATTTAGAATCAAATCGCATTAAATTTTATAAAAAAAAGTTTTCTCAATATTTATTTTTTTATTTATAATACTCAAACTCAAGATTTTACTTAATCGAATCAACTCACTTGAATCAACGAGTCATTGTTTAAAAAAGATTATATTATACTATTAAAAAACTATTTTAGTATTTAATAATTATATTTCAAAATAATTACTTAATGTAAAATTATTTAATTAGGTATATTATTATTTAAAATTAAATTAATTAATAATTTAATATATACCGTAAAAAA